AAAAAAAAGGATACAACCTTGATGCAAACCTTTCCTGATTTAAAACTAGTCTCTCCTTGCTCTGTTCAAATGACTGCCTCTCAGTCTATGTACAGGTTCCTTATGAGCACGATTAAGCGTTCTGGAATCCCCATTATTCACAATGTTATCCATAACTTGTTATGATCTACACAGTTGGATGCCTATTGCAAAAAGGGCAAGGAGGCCACATGTTCTGACCTCCTCTAACCCCACAAGCGGAAGACAGGATTACCAGCAATAACCCAAGGCCTACTACTGCAAGGCCAAACATGCTGCCTCCCTCCAGCCCTTTCACCAACCGTCCCTCCCAAACCACTCACCAGCTCTCTCCCGGGTTCGATAATTCGCTGTAGTGGCCACACAGAGCTCACAGATGGGGTTTATTAGGGAAGCACCACAGGCTACAATTCAAGTTCAGGAAAAATGCTCAGTCTCTCACCCAGCCCACCGTCCCTCAGCCAACAGTCTCTCACAGTCTCTTTCCCAGCAGTGCTGGTCCCTCAGTGTCTCACTCAGCAATGAGTGTCTCTTGCGTCTCTTTCCCAGCAGCACGTGTCTCTTTCTGGAGTGCGTGTCTCTTTCAGCAGCATGTCTTCCTCAACCAGCAGTCAGAGAGCGTTCTGCCTCTAGGAGGACTCCTTTTGAGCCCGGCAGGGTGGTCAAACTAGCCAATCATAGCATCAGAACTCTAAGCACCTGAGAGAGTGTGGGCACCTCCCAGAACATTGTTTTGTGCCAATCCCAACAGAAATACTCCAGGTGGACAACTTCAGCAATCAGGAGCCCTCAGTTGCTCATAGAAAATCCCACCTTGGAGTTTACAAAGTTATGGGTAGAAAAGCCACACTAAGTGATTTACTACACCACACCTATGCATGGTCAATAAAACACAGGTAAACTTCTTTCTGGTATTCTTTACTTTCAGCCAAGAGCTATTTGAAATCAGCAATGATAGCCCTCATTCCACACCCTCTTCCAAATCTAGCCTGCATTTCTGGCATTTCTATATGTACTGCTGCAATCACTTTTGAATTAATGTCAGCAAAATTTTACTTATGTGCAATATTAATGATACTGATAATTTCCACATTCTGTTGGGTTAGCCGTCTTTGGAAGGGGCACAAATATGGATCTCTTCCAGTCAATTGGTCAAGTATCTGTCTTCCAAATTTCTTGGCATAATCAAGTGAGCACCTCCAGCACTGCCTACATTTGTGGAAACATCTCAGTGGATGGTCCATAATTCCTAGAGCTTTGTTTTCCACCAATTGCTTCAGCGTACTTTCGACCTCTTCTTTCAATACCATCTGTTCTTGATCATATACTAACTCCGGAAATGGTTGAAGGTCAACCAATTCTTTTTGGTACAGTGACTCTGGGTATTTTTTCCATCTTTTGATACTTCCTTCATTGTTCAATATTTTGCCCACAGAATCCTTCAACATTTGCAATTTGATACTTGAATTATTTCATCGGCTCTTAAAGATTAAGAAATAACAAACGTGTTCTTTCCATTTGATCTTTCAAGTCCAGATCTTCACACATTTCATTATAATACTTTACCTAGTCCTCTTTTTTATTTTTAAATTGTGATTTGGGTGACGATTTCCAGAGAAAATTCACTTTCCATACAGCAGTTCACATACACTTTGCCTCATGACATTGACTACAGTTTACCACAATGCAACAGCTCCCTTCCCACTTCCTCCCGATAGTTACCTCTTCCCAGTGTCCATCTCTCCATGCACTCCTGCCCCCTGAGCTGTCTCCTTGTGCATAAGCAGCCCTTCTTTCTCCTATGATTGTTCTCTCCAAGGAGTATATTTACCTGAGGTAACATTCAACTCATATGCCTGTCTTTTGTTTGGCTGGAGACCATGGATGTGGGTTCAATTCCAGACCTGAAGGGCAGCTAGGGACCATAGTCTCAGTGGTTCCACCAGGCTCTATCGGACCAGCAAAACTGTTCCCCCCACCTTTTTTTTTCTCCAAATGATTTTGAATTTTGTTCCACATCGCTCTCCCTCTGTCAAGGATCTGCTGCACAATATTTTTTACAATGAGTAAGTGATTGGTCATACAAAATTCTATCATGCGCTCTCCAGTGTCATTTCTATCACTAAGGCCATATTTCCAACCACTGACGCTTCTTCTTTGTTTTTAACTTTTACATTCTAATCATCAGTAACTATCAGTATATCTTTGTCACGTGTGTGGTCAATTTCAGGTCAATTTCAACTGCAGAAATTGGTAAAAATTTAAAATTTCCTCATCTTTGGCTTTGGTGATTGGTGCATAAATTTAAATGATAATTCATATTAACTGGTCTTCTTTGTAGGCATATGGATATCCTATCATTGACAGCACTGTACTTCAAGATAGATCTTGAAATGTTCTTACTGACGATGAATCTATTCCTCTTCAATTTGTCATTCCTGGCATGGTGATTGTCCAAATCAAAATGGTCAGTAACATTTCCATTTTAGCTCACCAATGCCTAGGATATGGATCCTTATGTGTTCCATTCCATTTTTGACAGCTTCCAATTTTCCTAGCTTCATATTCCATACATTCCATATTCTAATCATTAAAATATGTTTGCAGCTGTTTCTTCTCATATTGAGTTGTGCCATATCAGCAAATGTAGGTCCCAAAATGATCACTCCATTCATGTAGAATGGTCGATTCTACTTTAAGGAGGGAGCTCTTCCCTAGTTGTATTTTGAGTGTCTTCCAACCCAAGGGACTTATCTTCTGGCAATATACAGACAATGTTTCCCTGTTTTCATAAGGTTTTCAGTGACTAATTGCTTTTTCAGAAGCAGACCTGGCTACATTTCTTTGAAATACTAGTGGCATAGTTTCAGTATCACAGCAACACACCAAGACACCACGTACAACAAACTGACAGATAAGTGGTAGATTGTAGGGTCAGAAGGAATAAATCCCAAATCACAATTTCTGATATTGAAAAGGTGATAAAATAAAAGTTTAGATAAACTAAAAACTACCTGTATCCTGAAAGTAACACTTACCAAAGCCATCTTCTTTTCTTGGAATAAAGAATAAGTGATAACCATAGACTGTGAAAGTGTGGATTCTTCAGTTTCCATAACAAAATTCATCTTCTGTTCTTGAGGTTTTATATTTGAAAAAATGTCTGTCTAAAAAAATTTAAATGCAATACAAATTATCAATAATATCAATATAATATTATCAATAATATCAATATAATGATCTATATAATAAAAGGAGCTCTGGTGGCATAGTGCCTAAGGCATTTAACTACTACCCAGACGGTTTGTAGTTCAAACCCACCAGCTGCTCCATGGAAGGAAGATGGGACAACATACTTCTATAAAGATTTACTGCCTTGGAAATCCAATGGGGGTCACTATGAGTCAGAATCAACTCAATGGCAGTAGGTTTGGATTTAATATCAATTGATCACTACGCACTGCCACTGAGTTGCATCCAACTCATAGCGACCCTTGGGTTTCTGAGGTGGTATCACTATGTAAGTAGATTGCCCAACCTTCCTTCTGAGGAGTGGCTGGTGGGTTTGAATGCCAGCCTTCTGGTTAGCAGTCAAATGCCTTAGGTACCTACGCTACCAGAGCTCCCATATGATCACTATTCATTAGAAAACAAAATGAAACACAAGTAAGACCTCTTAATAAGAGTCAAAGATTTCCCTGCTTAAGAGGAGACTGGAAAAAAGGTTTATTTTAATGTATTGATTTTAAAAGATAATACAATATGAGAAGGCATACAATTTTAATATCTATGATACCAAACATGGTTTACGAGCTCTGACTGCGAACCAGAACGCTGGTGGTTCAAACCCACCAGCCACTCCTCAGAAGGAAGGTTGGGCAATCTACTTCTGTAGTGACACCACCTTGGAAACCCAAGGAGGGGTCACTATGAGTCAGATCCGACTCAACGGCAGTGAATTTTGTGAGTGAAACATGGTTTTAGAACTAGGAAGTCCCTTTCGACAGTAAGAGAAAATAAAAAATGAACTATAATATGGACCAACCACTCTACCTATCTCTGTAAATTAAACCCCTAAAAGAATTAATATTCAAATTTAGGTACTGTTAACAATAAATTCTGTTAATACAGGTGTATCATAAGGAGTTATAATATAATTATATATACACAATTTAAAAAGGTATATCCAAAGTGAAGTTCCAAATTTGAAGCACTAGGTAAAATTTTAAATATGCTTCTCTTCTTAAGAGAAAGTTCAAAGAAAATTTGGAAAAAAGAATGAAGGATTAAAAATTAAGTTAATGAAGAAATACTGGAATTTTTTTAAAGCCTGACAAAAAAGTAAAGACCAAGTAATAGTCTTTAAATATATATATAAAGAATTTACCTCCAAATTGCCAACTTTACCTTCTAAAATGTATGACCCAATAATAAATTAAAATAATTAAATGAACAGAACTTGGCTTATTGTAACCTGAACTAGTTCATTTCTATCCATTTAAAACACTGGCCTACAAATCAGTTCACAGATTCCTGGGACAACTGCAGCTTGGTGAACAGAGATACCAGACAACACCATTTTATGACCTGTGGTCTCCAAATTATTTCTAGGCCCTCCCAGAATTTCAAGGAGAAACATTTTTCAATTGAATGGGAATGAAATGTTTCCATGTAAGATCTTAACACTTTCAAATTATGGTTGTAGTTTTCTAGAAATGCCTAAAATAAACAATATTACCCAGATTTCTCAGGATTCCAGTGCAGTTTACACACTGAGGCAACAATGGGAAATCCCTAAACCAAGATCATGGAAATGTGATCCCTGCGAGTTACACTGACAGATCCATGGAGGCAGCTGTGAATAACCATTTAAGGGACAAAATCATGAGATCATCTATAAATGTGACTATGGATGTTCCCAAACATTCAGCAAAGTAATTTGAGAGTCAGAATCTCAAGAAGGTGATTCTAGTAACCCAATTACTTAAATGATGCTCTACATATATAAGACTATGTGAATAGAGAGCAGTAAATTATGGAAACATATGAAGAGAAAAGGCAGAAGGACAAATGTAGGCATGCACATCCAAGTACTATTCAGGTGAAATATCTTGACTAATTAGATAAGAATATTGTAGTTTCCCGGGCAAGTAGAACCTTACAATGGGTGAGAATCTCTCAATTTATCTTTCTTGTTGAAGTAGTACTTAAGACATTATCAGAATTTCAATCATTATACTCCAGGGTTGCTAAACATCTTTCAGATAAGCTGGCTTCCCAATACTTCTTCTGTAGAAGAGAATGCACTAGCTGGGCCAAATGAAACTTTACAGCTGTATTCCTCACTATATAAATTAATGAATCTGCATTCCTTGTATTTATATACACACATGCATAATATGTACATAGAACCAAGTTCACAGAGATGCATAATGCAAGTCTACTCTCCAAAACACAACTACTCTGTGTGAAAACACATGAGACATTTAAGCTTGCAAAGATGAGGACTAAAACCCTAGTCTAGTCAATGGCAAATGGTACAGTGGGGGATCAGTCTGCACAGCCAGCTAGTCATTCCCAGAAACACCTATTCTGTCTTGATGCATGCCTTCTAAAATCTACAATATATAGCTATTCTGAAATTTTTAAATTGAAATGGAAACATGTAACACTTGGCTCTGTTCTAGGTCAGTTGTATGCTTAGACATCAGACTCCCCACCCACAGCGTTTTGAAACTGGAATTTTCTTTTGTGTTGACATGAAAGCATAATCTAATATTCTTTCATATGCAAGGTGAAGTCTCAAAAAATGGTCAAGACTTCAAAAAAAAAGCCCATTTATATTCCTCCCCAATATTCAACTAATACAATTTTTTATTAAAACCCTTGAATGCCAAAGTATGGAAAAATCCATTAAATGCCTTTCCCAGAGAAAAGCTCATAAATCTTCTTCATCAAATACATAACAATGATAAATAACCTATCAAAATAATACCAATATTATTCCGCAACATACTAAGCACTTGACTTTTTCAATTAGTGTGTTATAGATTTAAATATTACTGTATTATGTTTTAATCAGGTTTATTGAAATGATGGGCTCAAATATAGCAAGGATTGTGAGGATGGTGCATAACCAAGCAGTGTTTCGTTCTGTTGTATATGGGGTCACTATGAGTCAAAGCCAACTCAACGGCACCTAACAACAGCAAAAAACAATGGATTATAGTTTTTATCTTTTACACATGGTTAAAAAGAGTTATCTTTTTTTATAATTTGCTAAGTAGCTGTCAACTATAAATTCATCTTTGGTGGGAGGTGGACACTTTAAAAACATTATCATTTTCATAAAATGTATTTCTAGCAAATTATTTTCAACATATTTTTCCTAAATGGCCATCTTAATGGGTTTAATACTCATATCCTTATATTTGTAACTTCTGGTTTATATTGTAATAGAACATTAGTTTTAATTCAAAATTTTAAGTGAATTAAATAATTTAAAATGTTGAATAATAAAACATTAATGTTTATTATTTTATATCTTTAATAAATAGTTTCAATTTGCAAAAAGCCCAGGCATAATCCTGATCTCCAAAAATTAGCAGTCATTTTCTCTATCTAGAAAATTCAAAAAGGCTTCATAACAACTCTTTGGAGCATTTATCATTTGCCCTACTTCAGTGTCCCCTCCTGAAGAGCTTGGAGTTGGGAGGGTATCTGTCATCATTAAATAGTATCACCAACTCATGAAAGAAGGTACTATTAAAAAGAGACTCTTAGTCAATTAATGCTGGTAGATACAGTATTCTTTACCAAATTATTAAGACATTATAATTTCATTATCCAAAATACTCAATATAAAATAAAAGACATTTTCTCATGACATCTTTCATGACAGTATGAAAAGAAAATCTGGCAAAGACATTTTATATCAAAAGAGGAGAATACTACATATAAAATGTAGAAAAGTTTTCTACTTATAGTTGTTGAGTAATTTTTCTAAAATGGGATCTAAATGTATCTACTCAAAGCTTACAAGATCGTATAGGAATAGAAAACGATCTCTTAATACTGACTTACATATTTTTAACCATTCTAACTTTTAATAAGTACTCCATACACTTTCTAGTTTCATCCTTAGTTTCCTTTATATGGGCTGGGTAAGTATTATTTTCACTGTGGAGGTAAGGCAATGGACACCCTAAGAAATTAAAGAACATGTTCAAGTTCATTTAATAAACCATGGAAGAATGTAAATCCTGATTCCTAGTCCAACAGTGTTTCCATCACCTCATCCTGTCGCACCCTCATGCTGGACTACGTAGCACAGAGACTGCATGCGGAGTTTAAAGAAACAAATACAAACAATCCTTGTAGAAATGGTCACTTATGGTAGAGTAAGAAGTAATAAAAGGATATGAAGAAACACTATTAAGGCTAAAGAGAATAACATAAAATCTACTTTATATCAAAAGACAAAATTATTGGAAGGGGAGAGTGGTTGGGGAGTATGTCAAACAATAAGAAAAACAAAATGGCGGGCATCCTTAAGAAGTTATATATATACCCACTATTATTAAGTCAATTCTGACTCATTGCAACCCTTTAGGACAGAGTAGAAATGCCCCATTGGGTTTCCAATGCTATAAATTTTTACAGAGGCAGACTACCTCATCTTTTTCGCATGGAGCAGTGGGTAGGTTCTAAACATCGACCTTTTGGTTAGCAGATCAATGGTTTACCACCACCACCAAAGCTCTTTACTAACTGACAGTAAGAATAAATTCACAGCTTTAATTTCTAACTACCATATTTAAAACTGAAAGTTAGAATTTATCAACCTGAAATATAGAACTTACTCAAGTTTAAAGACAAAATCTTCAACAAAACAGAAAGACATGGGCAGCCTGAAAAATAACTTTAGTCTCAGGTTCAAAATTAGGCAACTAACAAACAGGTCTTTACCAACTGATTTACTGTAGAAATAGTCTGAATTCATTCATTTTCTTGGTGTCCAAGAAGAAAGGTCAAATAAAGGAGAAGACGTTGCTTTTGAGACATGCTTTTGAAATGGTCAAAAAATGTTATTCTCTAAGAGCTGCTGGAAACCACAGTAATTTACCTGAAGACTATTTACTTGGCAGAATTGTTTGATGACTTCCAACAGAGTGGCCAACATAGTAGCTTTGCCTTCAGAAACACCATCAATCCTTTTCAGATTTTCAATTGTAGTAGGTCTGTGGTTTAAAAAAACAAAAAGAAAACTCTAGAAACCATTGAAAAATTACCGCTCTAGCAACGAAGTATGCATTCTGATTCTCAATAAATGTTGTGTATTTTTAGACAGTTGTTACATATTTAATTTCATTTTTTTCAAAAACCAAAACCAAGGTAAAATATAAGTAATTCTGTTTTATAATTTCTTTCTTTACTTCTACCATTTCAAAATTTGCTGTTTTAGCAACTTAACAATAAAAACACCTCCATGTCCAGCACTACAAAACACAGTACTAATTGGCAAACAGGTCAATATCATAAAGAAACAGGCTAACATCTAATATTTTATTCTGTTAGTGATCTTATTATATTTTTAAAGAAATGACAAGGAAAACTATTAGCCTCTGAGGACAACCAAGAAGCTAAGAAACTCTCAGAAGAAAGTCTCATTCATAATTTTCTTCCACAAAGTATTTGCCACACAGTAAACCTGATAACTAGGCTTTTAGTTCAATATTTCTTAATGTGTCTAATATTCAAGAGACTGAACATCTTCTTTCTAAAATCTGCCAATGTAATGACTACTCTTTTTTCCTTTAAATATCTTCTCTGAATATTAAAGGATAATCCTAGAATATTTATTTTTTAATAATACCGTTATAGACTGTAAGGACTATGTAGTATGTAGAAAATTTTACACTAAACTAACATTTCTTGGGTGAAATTTAGTGACAGAAACTTTTTTTTTAAAGGAAGCATCAAAATGAATACAATTACCAATCAACTACTTTTGGAAACAATATCTTTTAAAGATACCTATTGACAATTTGGTACTACATGCTAGGGAAAACACAAAGATATGAGGAACATATATATTTATTCTCAGAAATTAAAATCTAGATGGTATAAAAACACATGTATACCAGTAACAACAAAAAATAAAGCATTGTGTGATAAGCACCGTAGAGCCAATATAAGTCTTTTATAAATTCAAGAAAAAGGAATTACTTTGCTGATAAGACTACAGAAGATGTAGGAAGAAGTAATAAAGCCAGATCTTAAAGTATTTCATAAAAAGATTTTAGGGGAATCAAAGGAACTATAGACAGAGGCAACATTGTAAATAATTATGTGGAAGTTGAAAGGGGTCTTCAACTAATGGTAAACAACAATCAAGGTAAGACAAGCCATTCAAAATTCTGTGACATACAGGAAAAAGTTAAGTTTAAATTCATAAATGGAGGGCCTTGAATTCTCATAAATGGAGAATCTTGAATTCTAAACTAAAGAAGTTAACGTGGGCAAATCATTTAAGCAGGAGTACGACATGAGATAGAAAGATTAATTTGGCACTCAAAAACCAAAATAATAACCAAACCAGTTTCCATCAAGTTGTTTCTGGCTCATGGCAACCCCATGTGCATTAGAGTAAAACTGTGCTCCAAGGGTTTTCAATAGCTATGACTGCTCAGAAGTAGATCACCAGGTCTTTCTTCCATGGCACCTCTGGGCAGATTCAAACTACCAGCCTTTTGGTTAACAGTCGACCACCTGGAGCTCTGGTAGCGTAGCACCTAGGGCATTTGAGTGTTAACCGAAAGGCTGGCGGTTCAAACCCACCAGACACTCTTCAGAAGGAAGATGGGCAATCTACTTCCGTAGTGATACTGCCTCGGAAACCCAAGGAGGGGTCGCTATGAGTTGGGTCTGACTCGATGGCACATAACAACCACCACCCAGGGATTACTTGGTACTCAGATATTAGATGAAACAGACTGAAGAAAGAGTGACCAATGAGGAGGCTTTTGCAGTAGTTCAAGGGTGAAATCTGAACTAACACAGTATTACACTTAGAAGAGCGAGAAAGTCATAGACACACAAGGAACTTTAAATGAAAAAGTCTGAAAACAATTTAAGTAAGTGGAAAAGGATGTATGTTAGAAGACGAAAGTAACATCAGAGGTTTTGAACATCTGTGACTGGGGACATGGTAGTATGATTAACAAAAATAAGGAACTGAGAAATAGGAATTTTGGCACTCGGATGAAATATGTGCATGAAGGGTGGGTGAAAAATGATTCAAATTTTCTATATACTGAATCTGATTGGTGAAAAGATAGTTGGTTTTCATTTTGGTGGAAGCATAAGGCTAAAAACTCAGCAAAAAGATAGTGGTAGGGGCATGACAAATTTGGGAGTATCTCACAAACATGATAGTTGAAGTTAGGGTCATTATCACATTATGACATATTTTATAAATCTATTCTGTTAGAAAGGAGCCCTGGTGGTGCATTGGTTAAAGCATTTGGCTGCTAACCAAAGGTTGGCAGTTCAAACTCACCAGCCACTCTGTGGGACAAAGATGAGGCAGTCTGCTTCTGCAAAGATTTCAGCCTTGGAAACCCTATGTGGCAGTTCTACTCTGTCCTATAGGGTCACTATGAGTTAGCTTTGACTTGATACCAATGGGTTTGCTTTTTTATTATATTTTTGTTGATGTTAGGTGCCACTGATTGAATTCAACTCATAGTGGCCCCATGTACACCAGAACGAAACACTGCATGGTCCTGTGCCAGCCCCACAGTCTTCACTATACCTGAGCCCATTGTTGCAGCCACTGTGTCAATCCATCTTGTTGAGGGCCTTCTCCTTTTTCCTTGTCCCTCCACTGTACCAAGCATGATATCCTTCTCCAGGGAATGGTCCCTTCTGAGAACATGACCAAAGTAGGTGAGACAAAGTCTGCCCATTCTCACTTCCAAGGAGCATTCTGGCTGCACCTCTTCCAGGAGAGATTCGTTAGTTCTTTTAGCAGTCCATGGTACTTTTAGCTTTCTTTGCCACCACCACAAATCATAAGCATCGACTCTTCTTCAGTCTTCCTTTTTTATTGTCTAACTCTCACATGCATACAAGGTGACTGAAAATATCACAGCTTAGGTTAGGGGCACCTTAGTCTTCAAGGAAGTATCTTTGCTCTTCAGAGCACTTGAAAGAGGTCCTTTGCAGAAGATTTGCCCAATGCTATACAATGTCTAATATCCTGACTGCTGCTTCCATTGGTGTTGACTGTAGAACCAAGTAATATGAAGTCCTTCACAACTTCAATCTTTTCTCCATTTATCTTGATGCAGCTTATTGGCTCCACTGGGAGGATTTTTGTTTTCTTCATAATGAGGTGTAATCCATACTGCAGACTGTAGTCTTCAATTTTCATCAGTAAGTGTTTCAAGTCATTCTCACTTTCAGTGAGCAAAGTTGTGTCATCTGCACCATGTAGGCTGCTAATGAGTCTTCCTCTAATCCTGATGCCATGTTCTTCTTCATACAGTCCAGCTTCTCAGATTATTTGCTCAGGATACAGACTGAATAAGTATGGTGAAAGAATACAACCCTGACACACTCTCTTCTTGCTTTTAAACCACGAAGTGTCCTCTAGTTCTGTTTGAACAACAGCCTCCTGGTCTATGTACAAGTTCCTCATGAGCACAATTAAGTGTTCTGCAATTCCCATTCTTCTCAATATCATCCATAATTTGTTACGATCCACACAACTGGATGCTTTTGCATAGTCAATAAAACAAAGTAAACATCTTTCTGGTATTCTTCGCTTCCAGCCAAGATCCATCTGACATCAGCAATGACATCCCTTGTTCCACGTCCTCTTCTGAACTCAGCTTGCACTTCTGGAAGTTCTCTGTGAATGTACTGCTATAACCACTTTTGAATTATCTTAAGATTTTACATGGCTGTGATATTAATGATACTGTTTGATAATTTCCATATTCTGTGAGATCACCTTTCTTTGGAATGAGTACAAATATGGATCTCTTCCAGTCAGTTGGCCAGGAAGCTGTCTTCCAAATCTCTTGGCATAGCCGACTGAGTGCCTCTGGTGTGGCATCCGTTTGTTGGAACATCTCAATGGGTATCCCATCAACTCCTGCAGCCTTGTTTTTTCCTACTTCCTTCAGTGCAGCTTCAACTTTGTTCAGTACCACTGGTTCTTGATCATATGCCAGCTCCTGAAATGGATGAACATCAACCAATTCTTTTTGGTATAGTGACTCTGTGTATTCTTTCCATCTTCTTTTGATGTTTCTTGCATCGTTCAATATATTGCCCATAGAATCTCTTAACATTGCAACTCGAGGCTTAGATTTTTTCTTCAGTTCAGCTTGAGAAACACCAAGCATGTTCTTTCCTTTTGGCTTTCCAACTCCAGGTCTTTGCACATTTCATTATAATAACTGACTTTGTCTTCTCAAGCTGCTCTTTGAAATCTTCTGTTCAGCTCTTTTATCTTGTCATCTCTTCCATTTGCTTTAGCTACTCTCCATTCAAGTTTCAGAGTCTCTTCTGACATCCATTTTGGTCTTTTCTTCCTTTCCTGTCGTTTTAATGGCCTTTCGCTTTCTTCATGGATGATGTTCGTGATGTGATCCCACAATTCCTCTGGTTTTCAGTCACTGGTTTTCAATGCATCAAATCTATTCTTTAGATGGTCTCTAGATTCAGGACGGATATACTCAATCAAGGTCATATTTTGGCTCTTGTGGACTTGTTTTAACTGTCTTCAACTTGAACTTGAACTTGCATATGAGCAGTTGATGGTCTGTTCCACAATCACCTCCTGGTCTTGTTTTGGCTGAAGATACTGAGCTTCTCCATCACCTCTTGCCACAGATGTAGTCAATCTGATTCCTGTGGACTCTGGTGAAGTCCACGTGTATAGCCGCCATTTGTGTTGTTGAAAAAAGGTATTTGCAATGAATAAGTAGTTGGTCTTGCAAAATTCTATCATGCGATCTCTAGCATTATTTCTATCTCCAAGGCCAAATTTTTCAACTGCTGGTGATTCTTCTTTGTTTCCAACTTTTGCATTCCAATCACCAGTGATAATCACAAATCTTGATTGCATGTTTGGTCAATTTCAGACTGCAGAAGTTGTTGTTGTTATGTGCCTTCAAGTCGAACCTGACTCATAGCGACCCCTCCTTGGGTTTCTGAGGCGTTATCACTATGGAAATAGATTGCCCACCCTCCTTCCAAGGAGTAGCTGGTGGGTTTGAACCACCAGCCTTCTGGTTAGCAGTCAAGTAGAAGCTGGTAAAAAATCCTCAATTTCCTCATCTTTAGCTTTGGCGGTTGGTGTGTAAATTTGAATAATAGTAGTATTAACTGGCTTTCCTTGTAGGCATATTATTCCATCACTGACAGCATTGTACATCAGGATATATCTTGAAACATTCTTTGTGACAATGAATACCATGCCATTCCTCTTCAATTTGTCATTCCCAGCATATATATGGTTATCTGATTCATAATGGCCAAAACCAGTCCATTTCAGCTCACTAATGCCTAGGATATAAATCTTTATGTGTTCCATTTCATTTTTGACAACTTCCAGTTTTCCTAGATTCATACTTGTACATTCCATGTTTCAATTATTAATGGATATTTGCAGCTGTTTCTTCTCATATTGAGTCATGCAATTCAGCAAATGGGGCCCCCGAAAGCTCTACTTTGTCCCTATCATTAAGGTAGGCTCTACTCTGATGAAGCAGCTCTTTCCCAGTCATAGTTTGAGTCCAACCTGAGGGGTTCATCTTCTGGCATTGATTGGACAATGTTTCAAAGATATTCATAAAATTTTCCAATAATATATCAGACAATGTTTCACTACTATTCGTAAGGTTTTCACTGGCCATATCTTTGAGAAGTGGATGACATCTTCCTTCTTCTGAGTCTGTCTCAGTCTGGAAGTTCCACTGAAACTGGTCCACCATGGGCATCCCTGGTGGCACAGCGTCCAGCCTAACAGCATCATGCAAGCCACCACAGTACGACAAACTGACAGACAAGTTCATTTCCCTTAGCTGTTCTAACCACTCCACTCACTCCTGGGCTCCTATCTGTTCTGACCACCGGAACTGTCTGCCACTGCTTCCTGTTTATTATATTAGAAGAAAATAAGTAATACCACATACAAATAGATTGTTTACCTCATTTTGGCCATATCCAGCAGTATCTTATTTGTTGCCAGAATAGCTGGAGGAACATCCATTTTATTAGAATGTTTCTGCCTGGCTTCTACCAATTTGCCATATAATGTAGTCTGAATAAAAAACAAAGAAACAACTCAACACTGTTTTAAATATACATAGAAAAATCCAGTCTTTTATTTTAGAGTTTCAGATTACATTTTCCCTTAAGTTGAAATAAAACCAAGCTCTATCCCAGACTCATAGCTAAAGTACAATTTTTAAAATACCAACAATAGAATTTTAAGCATGCATAGAATCATAACTATCCTCTCATAAACTAGTTGTCTTTTTACAAAAGTCTTACCTGAGTCTCTTGCTCTTGGGCTGAAATAACAAATTCTGAGGACTTGTAAGATGCAGGAACAAATTTTCCTGGTGATGGCACCACAATACTAAAAAATTTAAAGGAAAACAAACAATAAAATTTTCTTTCTCCTGGCTCACTTTTCTATTTTGCCCCCAAATAAAGAATATTTTCCCAAATCAATATTAACATCTATTCTTCACAACACCAGTAAGGCAACTGTTACTTAAACAACAGCCCAGATTTTGAACATTTTGGATCAATCACATTCATTATAATGGTAAAGTTAAAAGTGTAATTTGAGGTCATCACAAAATTGAAGAATAACATTTGTCCCATCTTCCTGAATAAAATGCTTTTTTTGGGGGTGGGGTAAGAACCTTATTATCCGTACTGAAGAAAGGTAACATTTTTTTTTTTTTTTTTAACTAAGAGGGATCTAACCTATAACGAGGAGCTCTGGTAGCATAGTGCCTAGGGCACTTAACTGCTAACCAGAAGGGTGGCGGTTCAAACCCATCAGCCACTTCTCAGAAGGAAGATGGGGCAATCTATTTCCATAGTGATACCGCCTCGGAAACCCAAAGAGGGGTCACTATGAGTCAGGTCCGATTCGACAGCATATAACAACAACAACAATCTATAATGATTCATTCTGTGGCATTAATCACTTTTTTGTTGGTGGGAGACAGTAGCATAGGATTAATCAAATTGTTCAAAAATTTCTTCTAAATCAGACAAAGTAAGTAATTTTGCTTTTGAATCCTCAAAAGAGGGAGGAAAAAAAAAGCCAAAATTGGAAACAATATGGTAGTAAATATTTTAGGCACTAAACTAGATAAAAAGCCAATTTCTAGACAAGATATTTCTTATTGATAAAGTAATTACAAATAGGAAAATCATGAAAATGATATTGCACAGAATGCCGAATATATCTGGAATAGGCAAGTGTCCAGGGACAAAGTTTATTAGTGGTTTCCAGGGGAGTCCCTGAGTGGTGCAAAAGTCTGGAGGTGCAAGTCCACTCAGAAGCACTTCAGAAGAAAGTCCTGTGATCTACTTCCAAAAAAAAATTAGCCAATGAAAACTCTGTAGTGCAGTTCTTCTATGACACACATGGGGTCTCCGTGAGTCAGAGTTATCTGAATGACAACAGGTATCACGGGGGTGGGAGGGAGGAGAAAAAGGACATCGAGCTTGAAGACAATGAGTTTCTGTTAAGGGTGATGGGAAAATTCAGAAACGGATTATGGTGATGGTTGAACATGATAAGCATGTTACTGAATTGTACATGTAAGGAATGTTGAAATGGCAAATATCATGTTTTAAAAATTGCATAGAATGGCCTATATAAAAGATGAAAAATTTAAATAAATTTCTACTTTTTTGACAGAGGGTAAAGAGAACAAACATGTCTGACATTTAAGAAATGTCTAGTAATTTCTCTGTTGCAAGAATTCACAGACCACATTGTAAAGTAAGATTTTATTTTCATGATTATCAAATCCTACTACTAAAATAAATGGACTTGAACATGGGGAAAAACAATTCCAGTATAAAAAATTAATAATACCAAGTTACTTGAGAAAATTATAAACTTGTTTTAAATTGTATGACTAACATTTATGAAAGTATTTTTACTAATGTAGTATTTGCAAAACAATAATTTTTAATATTTCATGAAGAAATTTTATAACCATATATACTAGCAAAACTATGGGTAACATATCTTAGGCAGAAGGATATGTGGGAAAAGTTTAATAAAAGTATTTTTCTATGAATGCTATGTGCACAGAAGATCAAAAAAAGTCTAACAAATAACATCAGAGAGATATGTGAAGATATTACACTGATGAAACAAGATCCCTACACTTTACTGAGGAAATATAATGAGAATGATAAAGAGTTCTTATAAATTAAAAACTTGTTAAGTAAAATTAAAGTTTTACTAGATGGACTATCTTCAAGAAGAGTAAGCAAACATAGAGACTAAAAATAGAAGAAAGTGCACTAAAATCCAAGCAAAAAAGAGAAAAAAAAAATATGGAACACCAGGGAAAATAATATAGTGGTGGTTATAACAACAAAGTTTGGCTTACCAAACAAAACAAAACAAAACAAACTAACGGCTGTCAAGTTGATTCGACTCATAGCAACCCCTCCTTGGGTTTCCGAGGCAGTATCTCTATGGAAGCAGATTGCCCAATCTTCTTTCCAAAGAGTGGCTGGTAGGTTTGAACTGCCAGCCTTCTGGTTAGCAGTCAAATGCCTTATTTTCATAATTATAAAAATGTAGAAATACAATATTAACATGATCAAATTTTTAATATAAGCCCTAATCTACCATAATAGAAAGTCAAAGAAATTTTCTAAAATTGATAATGAAGAAATAGTAGTCTGAAGCCTGTTAAGATATATAGAGGTAAATGCCAGAGAAACCAGCTGGAAAATTTCAGGATGACTGCTTTTATAGAACAGAACAAAGTGGGTTTGGGAAGGATGTGGACTAGTGTTTTTCATTATAAACCCCTAAGTACTATTTGACTTTTTAACCCACAAAAAAACCCAAATCTGCTGCTGTCAAGTTGATTCTGACTCATGGTGCCATGTGTTACAGAGCAGAACTGAGTGCCATAGAGTTTTCTTGACAGTAATCTTTCCAGAAGCAGACTGCCAGGATTTTCGTTAGTGGTGCTGCTTACTGGGTCCAAACCTCCAACTTTTTGGTGCAAACCATTTGCACCACTCAGGGATATTTTTCAAAACCAGGTACATATATTACCTTCAATAAATTTTAAAATGATATGGTTAATGATCCTGCTCACTTCCATACAATAAGCCCATATATTAAAGTTGATTTTTTCAGTACTTGACAGGAATGTTGTTTATCACTAAACTCTTAATTTTAACTTCATTCCTTAAATATCTAACTCCTGAATTCTGTTATTTCTCTTATGTTGCCACCTAAGGAAATAACAATACTCTAACCCAGCAATCTAGTAACAAAATCTAAGTGTCATCTCTAAGTCTTCCATTCTCCTTAACATCATTTTAATACTCAAGTCCCCAAAATTCTATCTCCTACATATCTTACGGGAGCTCTGGTAGCATAGTGGCTAAGACACTTGCCTGCTAACCAGATGGCTGGCGGTTCAAACCCACCAGCCACTCCTCGGAAGGAAGGTTGGGCAATCCTACTTCCGTAGTAATAACTGCCTCGGAAACCCAAGGAGGGGTCGCTATGAGTCGGGGCCGACTCGATGGCACATAACAACAACAACAACAACACATATCTTACAAACCTATTTTTCTCTCCATGCCCAATGACACTTCCCTCATCTAAACTATAATCATATACTGCAATAGGTTGCTGTAGTTTTTTTTTCTTCTTCCTCTTTTTTACAACACTTTCATTCTTCTTTAATCTATTTCCTCCACAACCACAGTGATCAATCAAGGATGGGAAAACTAGGAGCCATGGCTGAAATCAGTTTATTTTGACAAGGCCTATAAACTAAATGGTAAAAAAAAAAAAATTAAAAGAATATTTCATGTCATATTAAAGTTAAATGAAATTAAAATTCCATGCAATAAATAAAGTTTTATTGGAACATAGCCATGCTTATTTACATACTATCAATGGCTGCTTTCAGGCTACAATAGCAGAATTAAATAGCTGGAACAGAGTCCATGTGGCCTGAAAAGCCTAAAATATTTATTATCTGATCCTTTACAGAGAGCTCCAGTGGCATAGTGCCTAAGGCATTTGACTGCTAACCAGAAGACTGGTAGTTCAAACCCACCAGCCACTCCTTGGAAGGAAGATTGGACAATATATTTCTGTAAAGATACTACCTCAGAAACCCAAGGATAGGTCACTATGAGTTGGAACCGACTCCACAGCAGTGAGTTTAGTTTTTGATTTTGATTTATACAGAGAAAATTTGTCAGTCCCTATTCTAAATCATAAATTTAATCATGTTATACTTAAAACTCTTCTTTAGATCAAGTCCAGTGCTTAAAAGGAACTGGTTATAGTGGTCCCTATTTAGTTCTTCAGACTTTTTTTTTGCATCCTTCTACCAGATGATCTTCAGCATACTGTTACGTAAATGCTCTTCTTGTTTTCAGGCTTTTATATATAGGCTGTTCCTCTGTTTGGACGACTTCCCTTCATTTCATCTGACCAACTTCTACTTAAACTTCAAGTGTCACTTCTTGTGGGATGCCTTGCTTAATACTCTACGTGTCTCCATTGTTATAACCCTGATTGCAATTTTATGTTCCAAAGCCTAGAAGGAATGGTTCCTGGCACAAAAATGTACCAAGTAAAAACATAGTAAATGTTTAAATAAAGAAATGCTTCAGCATATTGATTGAATATATTGTTTTGTACACTGCTTAAACTTTTCATTTACTTAAAACAATTATCATATAACACATATTCAAACAAAGAGAAATTGTTCTAGTTGGGAGACTGGTATCATTGCAAACGTTTTGTCGGTGAACAAACTACTAGGAAATATGTAACAGCCTTAGAAAACATTCATTTACTTTGACCTAATATGGAAGCAATATAGTCCATTTAAGCTGTGTGTATACTATACAGGCCCTGACATTCTTCAATTTTCTATCCTCAGCCTTCCAGTAATAGTAAGCTAAAAGTACAATAGATGCATTACCTTATTCTCCACAAGCTTTTATTTATGCCATTTTATGATGCCATAAAACCTTTTTTTGAAAATGGCATGAGAATATGTATTTTATACAAATTTAATTTATTTTAAATAGTGTTAGGTGCTGGAAGTAGACAAATTCAGATTCAAAAGCCAGCTCAACTCTAATATGGGGATAAATAATAATAGCTAACTCATAGGTTGTTGTAAGCATTAAATGAGATAATACATATAAAATGCCTAGTACTTACCATAAAAAAAAAACTCACTGCCATTGACCCCTCCTTGGGTTTCTGGGGCAGTTTCACTATGGAAGTAGATTGCCCAACCTTCCTTCCAAGGAGTGGCTGGTGGGTTTGAACTGCCAGCCTTCTGGTTAGCAGTCAAATGCCTTAGGCACTACGCCACCAGAGCTCCCGTACTTACCATAGAGTCTGGCAAATAATAATACTCAGTAAGTGTTAGCCATGACATTAATATTAATGCTATCATTTCATAGGACTTCCTCTGGCTATGAAATAGCCCAACATGTGATAGTTTCTCTTTAGAAAAGAAAAACAACGTGCTATTAAAGTAGTGTAGTAAATATAAATATTGAACTTTGTACCTTTTTTTAGAAATGTTACTCCCAGAAGATATTTTATCAGATGCTTTGTAAGAATACCTCTTCTCCAAATTAGACTGTTTTTAAACATATAAAGAACCATTAAAAACACGAAGTAAGTTTTAAAGAAACTTATGCAGGTTATAAGATGTAAGATTGATGATATTTTTTTCCTTGACTAACCATCAAATACATCCATCAAATAAACCATCTGAAAATAAGCTCTTGAAATATCAACTTCTAGAATTTAAAAGGCAATTAAAATGTAATTCAATATCTCTTCCTCTCAAATGCATAAAGAATGCTCTCAAACACAGCAAGAGACAAAGTTACAAAAATTATTCAATAATGCTCTGCATATTGTATTTAATAAAGCAGTAATAGTTCACCAAAAATGTTAATTCAACACATTTGTCCATTACTCTAGTGTTCTAATTATCTTACATCAGCCTATGGATAAGTATTTAATATGTATAGTTATCTAAGTTTCAAAAATAAAGCAGGAAAGTATGTGTATATGTATATAACTTTAGTGAGAACATTTCAGAATCAAACTTATTTTTCTATAAACTACAAGTATCATAACATGTAAAAACTCCAAGCCAAAAAAGTATAAAAATGTTTAAAAGAATCAAAATAAGTTATGTTCCTCAAATACTTTTGTTCTATTCTTTTAACCCCTAAAATCATACACCTCATATTTTATTCTGTTCCTATCACTTCTCTTTCCAAATTTTATGTTTGTTATGTATGCTACTTTTCTCTTTAATTGAGAGGGAATTGAAATACAAAAATTTAAAATAAGAGCTACATCAATAAAGAATGAAATAAACTTGAAATAAATGACCACTTCTTTGAAACAAACCTTCTTATCTGCAGTTAATTCAATTGGTACTTGATTAGAAGAATATTTTTCAATGACTGAAGATACAGTTTTAGAACTGAAAAATAACAAGATTAAATTATCTCTAATGTTAAAACGCAATTATCTAATTCATGACTCTTCATACCCCTAGTGTCAGAAAGGTAGATGAGATCATATTAACATTTTAGGACTACAGAATTTTTAAACTGATTTTTTCTAGAAAAAGCTCTGCAAAGTTTAAGAAGTTTAATAGGAAAAACTGAAGAACAGTCAGTAACATGTGAAGGTACTAAAAAGGAGGCAACAAATGTACTACCTTTCCACCTTCTACATACAAGGCAATATGGGGTTTCTTCAATACTGATCTCAATGCTGCTTCTTTAATCAATGGAAAAAAGCTGTTGAAATACTATGGTCAGCTGCTTCCTTTCAACCAAGAAAGTGTTCTATGATTTACCTTTCTCCCACTGACTCTTTTTCCCAAATACGTACACAAAAAACATTATCTTTGTTGATTTTATCTGTGGTGTCTGTTAACTGGTAGTACAGTCTGCATTATATAAACAAAAAGAAAACATCTAGAATTTTTTTAAAAACTGTAAAATGAACCTTGGCAGAAGAAATTTCCTTGGACACAATTCTTCATTAGCTGGAAGGGTAAGTCTCTGAGGAGATTCTTTACTGGCTTTATCAAGCCAATTTCTCCCCTGTCAAACAAAAGAAGAATCTTTTAATCCACAGTGAGAAAAATTAAGTCAAACAGGTATACTTTTACAATGTTCACCTTTTTTGTAAGGATGCAAATCTTTATAAATTTGTTACTTCCAGAAACTTCTTCCAAGAATCCTTCAATTATGAGTTGACGAGATAAAGCCTTCCACCAGCTCTCTGTTTGATCCTTGCCAATGCCAAAGAAATTATGGCTGCGATACTTATCTGCAAGACGCTGAGAATTCTGAAATTAGGCATAAAATCAGCATCAAAAAGTGCTTATTTAATTAAACAGATTATGACACAAAACCATTTACTGATTCTTTTAATTTAACACTAAACTGAAGTTTTAAAAAACCTACACAATTTTACATTCATTCTGCTTGTTCTGAATACTTAATTCACAAACATATATACGTTTGTATCTCCAAATGCACTGATGCAAAATGAATTCTGACTCATAGTGACCCTACAGGACAAAGTAGAACTGCCCCATAGGGTTTTCAAATTTTTACAAGCAGATTGCTACATATTCATCCTGCAGGGCAGCTGGTGGATTTGAACCACTGACCTTTTAGTTAGCAGCTGAGTTCTTAACCACTGTACCACCATAGTGCCATATATAAAATCAAAATAATGTCTTTTGTATTATGAATAAGGACAAAAAATTTCAGATGCAATTCAGATTCATTTCACAATGTTTTTTTTTTTGGATATGTATTTGGAATAGCTTTAACTTTGTTATTTAGAAAGTTATTCACATATTCATAATTGTTGTTGTTGTTGTTATGTGCTGTCAAGTCGGACCCGACTCATAGCGACCCCTCCTTAGGTTGCCGAGGCAGTATCACTACGGAAGTAGATTGCCCCATCTTCCTTCCAAGGAGTGCCTTAGGCACTAAGCTACCAGAGCTCCCACATACTCATAATACTGTTTGAAAATAGTGATCATAATCTATAGGTCAAGACTAGAACTATGGGTGCTAAAGGTAGTGTGACCCATTAGCTAGTCCACAGTGAGTGGCCGTGTGACAAGTCACGGTTACCACTGCATTGCAAGTTTTACTATGCCTTTGTTCATGACGCTCTGCAAGTTTGCTTAATCATTTATGATTTAGCTGCTTCACTGAGATACAGCAGGTAAAGCAGGTACATGCTAAATAAATAGCTGATGCTTTTGAGGGTTTTTTCCCTTGAGGGAAGAGAGAATTCCTATGGGAGAGTCTTGAAGTTTGTCAGATACAATTATCTTCTCATCTAATACAGATGATTCTCCCTACTTTTCCTTACTTTCCCCATTTTACTACCTCTCTCATTTATCATACACACTTAATACTACTTTTGAATGTGTTTTACAGTATATGAACATAAGACTTTATGGGAAAATTGCTCCTGTCTAATATATATTTGTAATAAATATGGCAGACTGTAATTCAAAGGTCATTCTAATTTCCATCCACTGTGATTTCTACTATAGAATCTAGGAGTTACAAATGCCTTTTCTCAAACTGTTTCACCTTGGGTTCTAGATATGATTTAAGTTCCACTAATCAGATATATATTTGCATGACATATATAAACAGGAAGTGAGGGATAAGTCTACCCATCTGCTTTTTTTGCAGGCATGCATGACCGGAAAGTGTTTATTTTTAAAAGGAAATGTTAGCAAAGAGCCCAGTGTACAACTAGAAGCTTTTTAAGTAACAAGAGGCATCCATCTTCTTGATACAGATTGGAGCAGGTACATGGTAGTTCCCAGAACAAGCAGAAAAACTTCCCTGATTATGACTGTTTCCTACTCAAGTGCTGTAGTAACAGCTTCCCAAATTGACAGCTTCTTGAACACAGAAGAGCTCCCCTGGTGGACTATTTTGCAATATGACCTTGTCAACAATACTGTAAAGCATTTAATAAAAAAATTCACTGCCTTTGTGTCGATCTGACTCATAGCCACCCCTCCTTGGGTTTCCAAGGTGGTATCACTACAGAAGTAGATTGCTCAACCTTCCTACCGAGGAGTGGCTGGTGGGTTTGAACTATCAGGTTTCTGGAGCAGTCAAATGCCTTAGGCACTAATACCCAGTAGTAATAAGTATTTTTCTGTTTAGCTAAAGTGATTATGAGCTATCTAACTAAACACTAACCTATTTTAGATTACATTTATCCTTCAAAAACACATATCCCTTAACATGTCAAGAGTTTGTTGTTGTTATGTGCCATCGAGTCGGACCTGACTCACAGCGACCCCTCCTTGGGTTTCCGAGGCAGTATCACTATGGAAATAGATTGCCCCATCTTCCTTCCGTGGAATGGCTGGTGGATTTGAATCACCAGCCTTCTGGTTAGCAGTCAAGTGCCTTAGGCACTACACTACTAGAGCTCCCATCAAGAGTTTACTATACCCTAAAAGTTTCAATATACAATAAAATCTAATCATGCATACCTTATAACTCAACATTTCTATGTTTTATCCAGACTCTAGTGAATGCTTACATATCAATGCACAGAAAAATTCCAGAACCAAACCTAAAAGTACATATGGAACGAGTTCCAGGATACATAATTCAGGCACTGCAAGGCTCTCTATTATGAACATATTGATTTTATTCAATTGATAAGAATGAAGGATTAAGAGATCATTTTTGGAATGTTAAAAATGTTAATAAGAAAGTATTCTAAAATGAGTAGAACAAGAACAAATATTTATACAAAGATATATTGCTTTCATATTTGAAGGTGTTTCTAAGTATATGATGAAATAAAAAAATCATATTATATACAAATATTAATATACCTATGTTAATATTAGTTCTAAGGTATAAACCAAAAGCCAAACTCACTGCTGTGGAATTGCATCCGACTCATAGTGACCCCTCCTTGGGTTTCTGAGGCGGTATCTCTACAGAAGCAGATTGCTCAATCTTCCTTCTGAGGAGTGGCTGGTGGGCGTGAACTGCCAGCCTTCTGGTTAGCAGTCAAATGCCTTAGACACTATGCCACCAATTAACATGTAACTATTTGTACCATCTAGGGGATCTATTTACACTACAGTTGTGAATAAAACACAGGCCTCCTGATTGCTAGTTTTTTTTTCTTTATTACTACACCACAGATGTATATACCCTTAAATACATACACATTATATTGATTATAGTGAGTGTAGGGTCTGGAGCTAGATTATCTGGCTTCAAGTCATAACTCTGGTACTTATTAGGTTTTTTTGTTTGTTTTTTTACTTTGTGTAAATTAGTTATCTGTGCTGCATTTCCTCATCTGCTATCTAAAAAAAAAATCATCAAGTTGATTCACCTCATGGCGACCCTATAAAACAGATTAGAATTGCCTCATACAGTTTCCAAGGCTGTAATCATTACAGAAACAGACTGCCACATCTTTCTCCAGTATAGCACCTGGTGGGCTTGAACCATCAACCTTTCAGTTTGCAGCTGAGCACTTAACCATTGCACCACCAGGGCTCCTTTTATCTGCTACACAATTATAATAATAGTCTCTATTTCTTGGGGGTGTTATAAAGATTAAATGAGTAACCAGGAAACAGACTGTCTCAAAAGCATTAGCTTCCTTTTTACTAGTTAATAGCTGATTTCTTTTACTCAACTTGCATGTCTTAACCTAAAAGTGTAACTATGCATTATTATCTAGTCAGTTTTCCCTGAACACTTGCTTATGGCTCTCTATATCTGGTAGGGGCTTACCTCTGCAGGAAGAGACTCTATTGCTTACAAACAAATAACATCAAAGGTACTGAGTTTCTTAACTAGCACTTACTAGCTCTCTACACACTAAAAATTGCTCTACTCTTTCCTTTCATAAGCAGAAATAAACCTGAAGTGGATGAGCAAATTTACTAGTCTGAAGCAGTAAGATTATTTCTAATCAGCAGGGTGTAATTATCACTTCCTCTCCTGATCAATAATCATTATGAATACTGTGTACTATGTGAGTAAATTTACATTATCTTGTTTCCATGGCAATCATCAGGCACAGAAAGAAAGAGTTCTACTATTGGATAATAAGCATCTTTATCTTAATGAAAGCATATTCCCTTTTCAACTAGAAATCCAAAGTTAACACTTTTAAAAAAAAAAAACAGAATAGAGTAAGGATTTTCAATAACAAATGTTTTAATGATTCCTAACTCTTGAGCAAGGCTTCCTCCACTAACTGTTAAGTGTACTGGTTAACTTAACTTTCCAGGTTAATTCACTTATGGAGTAATGCTGTCTGGGAGGAGAATGCTGCTATAGGGAATAAGGGACTTGGGCATAGATACTAAGGCAGGCAAAAGCCTACAAACACACACATATATGCATGCATGAACACACACATCCCTTACCAACCACAAATCTTCACTGTAGTATGTCTAGATCATTCAGTCTAAAATATAATTTAAAACTGTGTGTGAACAGTATTAAACAGTATAAAACAAAAAAGTACTACACCGGTAGACATGAAAACTGTTTTCTCATACTGATTCTGACACAAAGTAGCAGTACAACTTAGAGTCAATTAATTTAATGCTCTGGGACTCAGTTTTCACAACTGTAAAATAAATTGGTAGGACTAAATGGACTTTTTGCAAGGTCTAGCTCCAAGAGTCCAAGAGACACAGCTTCAAAAAAGGAAATTTTCATGCCATTCTTTCTCTTTAAAATGGCTTAGAAAAATAAGACGCAAAAATAAGTGATGTATCATAGAACACGAAAACTTATTAATTGATAAGTGTCAGAATAAAGAAGGCTAGAAATTTAATTCCTGGCCACAGTATGAGACCGAAATTATCAGTTTCTGATACAATAAAAATCTTTGCACCAGCACGTGATAAACAAAAAAGAAAACTGCCACTTCTGTTAATTACTTTCTTTAAAAATCACTATTGTTTTTTATAGCAGTTCTTTCTGCCTGTAACGCCATATTCCCTTCTATCTTAAACTATCTACGTCTACTAAATCTTGCCAAAATCTACTGTATATCTTACACAAAATAGAAATCTCCAGTGATACCCTTGCACAGACTTCTCTAATATCCGCTGTTATTAGCAAGCTTTTCAGAACTTCAATAACATTTTACACCTATTCACATGTCCTTATTTCTCTCTAAGGAGTTCTGTGGTATGGTTTAAGCATCTGGCTGCTAATTAAAAGGTTGGTAGTTTGAACCCACCAGTTGCTCTGTGGGAGAAAGATGAGGCAGAGTCTGCCTCCGTGAAGATTTACAGCCTTGGAAACCCCAGTGGGGGTTACTGTGAGTTGGAATTGACTTGATGCCACTGACTTTGGTTTTTGCTTTATCTCTTTCTATGCTACATTATATGTTATTTCTTCCCAACTAACACCTCCCATTAAAAAAAAAAAAAACCCACATTAGATGACAAATCTATATCTAATTCAAATTTGGATTATATCCCCCATAAAAATACATTATAGTACCTTTTACAACAGAAATGATCAATAATTAATGTAACAGATAGTTATAAATACTAACTCAAAAGGTTTAAATCCCTATGTTCTCAAGAGAACAAAGTAAGTCCTTCTTTTCTATGAAATATTTTAGGTTTTTTTCCCATGTCTTTCAGTTCCTACAAGCCAAAGTACATCATAGCTACCATTCAGGGTCTGAGAAAGTCATTTCTTGAGCTGATGTTCTATGAGCAAAATAAAACAAAAATAAATAAGTAAAGTAACAATAATTATCTCTAGGAATTTATCTCACTCAGGTGAAATAGCTTGTCCAGAAAATTAAATGAACTATAATCTCCTGTCAGATAGTCTGATAAATATGAAAGATGATTAAAACTATCAACAGTTACAATAGCTGCCCATAGTCAAAGTAGCTATCAAAAAGTTTTATCTAATTCTGGGGTCAGGATAATATTTAGCATTTAAATAAAATGATCAGGAAAGAAGTTCCACATTATCTGGTTATACACATTAATGACTGTGCTTCTCTTTTGAATCTGTAACATTAAGATCCTTGCATATCCTATTCACAAAAGGGTGTTTAAAGATTTTTACATGGTGGGAAAATACTGAGATCCTAGAATAGGAGGCATAATCATTATATCATTTAGAATATGCTTGTACAAAAAAACTCCAAACTCACTGCCATCGAGTTGATTCCAACTCATGGCGACCCCCATTGAGTTTCCAAAGTGGTAAATATTTACAGAAGTAGACTGCCCCATTTTCCTTCCACAGAGTGGCTGGTGGGTTTGAACCGGCAACTTCCTGGTTAGCAGTCAAATGCCTTAGACAATATGCCACAAGAGCTTCTTATTCTTATCTAAGAGGGGAGAATTATGTTCTGTTGAAATTATATTTGTTATATATTTGTATATCTTATATTTTTCAAGGGAAAAAAAATAAAGGCCCCTCATGGCACACTGTGTTTAAGTGCTTGGCTGCTAACTGAAAGGTCAGTGTTTCGAGCCTTCCAGTTGCTCTGTGGGAGAAAGATATAGCATCTGCTTCCATAAAGATTTACACCCTTGGAAACCAGATATGGCAGTGTTACTCTGTCACAGAGGGCACTAAGAGTAGGAATCTACTAAAGGGCAACAGATCTGGGGTTTTTAAACAAACTCCAATAGTTCTTAATTTAAGATACTTCTCATCATCAAAATTATCTACAAAGACATTAATTTTTCCTGTAATTAGTTAAGGTGGATGATTTACAAAATTCTCAAAGGGTTTACAATTAAAATCTTTTAAACAATACCTCAATAGATATCGAGATCACTAAAATGGAGGGGAAAAAAAAACTTGCCTCGTTTTCACTGCAGTTAATGTCTACAAATTTTAGTTAAGTGGCACTTTTTTAAAAGTTTTACACTTTTATCTAGCAAGGGTAGTATAAAATTTCACAAAGGATAAACTTCTTAATTTGAGGACTCCCAGAAGAGACTGCCATATAAGCAGTCTGACTTGGTTTTCAAATAACAGGTGAAATCTGATCCCTCTTGTGACCAGTTCAAGTTTGTCTAGGAGCCCACTTATACTTATTTTTTTGATATTGGATATGGCTGGATTACACCAAATTAAAACAGGGATAATTTTTATAAATTATACATTCAACTGGGATATAGAGGTTTTGAAGGTCACAGAGACAGATGAAATTTTTCATAGGCCTCAATTATATTTAATCTGCCCTCTGTAACTTAAATTCTGTTTATAAAAAATACTGTATCACTCACTGCATTTAAAACAAAGTTCCTTATGAAACACTCAACATTATTTAATATCTAATCAGACTTGTGATTTAAAAATAGAATTTAAGTATCCATATCACAATCTAAAATCATCTTTGTCTAAAAATATAAGCTTTCTAATATAGTCCATTAAAAATATTTGAGAACTGATTAATATGCCCTTTTCTAAAATAAAAACTTAGAAAATATTTATATGAAAAGTATATGCATTTTAACAAATAAATGATTAAATGATGTACATATATTTCTAATCTTTATTTTCATGTATATTTCTCTCCCTTTTAGACTTGTTCCACTCATCTTAATATACAGTATTTAGCTTTGCTTCACAGACTAATAAATCAGGAATAAACAAAAAGGACTACTCTTTGACTTTAAGGATCATGTCTTATTCCTATTTGCCTGTACTTGTTAACACAATGTGGTACACTAATTAAAAATAATAGTAAGAATTAGTCAAATAAAATTATTTATTTGCCAATAAGGCAAAAAATATCTTCATAGAAGTTTTAATACTTCTGATAGGAAACAGAAGAAAAGAATAAATATATTGCCAAATACTGTTACTGAACTTAGACATTTACAGAATAATCACTTAAGTTTTGCTGAGAGAATTTAATAGCTGCCAGGTCCCCAAAATATACAATTTTATTCCATCTGTCCCTTGATACAATGAAAGTTAACTTTACTTAATTATCCTAAGAAAGACCAGTCTAGGGAGTCATCAAACTACAATGTAATAAACTAATATAATGCTTCCAGACTGAAGTACAGAGCTGAGCATCAGCCTGGGACATGAAAACAGCAATACTGACGATACACATAGGCTTTATCAAAAGTAACGAATGCAGTGCTTAAACAAACTTAATATGCTCGCTGGGTTTCTAGTAATTCATCTAAAGGCAAAGTCGGAAGCACATTATGGCAAACCTCTAAAGAAAATTTTAAAAATAAAAGAACTATGCAGATGATTCAGAGATATACTTACAGATCCTCGGAGAAATAAAATGGGAACCCCAATTCCAAACTTTCCTCCTAAGATTTCCACAGCAGACAGAAGCTGGAATGCTTGTGGACCAAAGTCCTGTAATGTATCTTCAGAGTCTTCAATGGAAAAGCAATGACTCAATCTAAGTGAGAACGATATTATAGCTTAGCCAAGGTACATACCTTTAGAAATAAAATGACTTAGTGTAACAATTACCCAATTAAAAAAATATCTCACACTTGCCAACTGCCTCAGAACCTACAAATAAAATTCTAGACTTCCAACAGCATATGACATATCTAAAATATGAAAAATGAACTATTATATGGTATGATAGATATGTTATACTAATGGCTCTCAATTCTAATGTCCTAGACCTCAAAAGTTTCACTAGGTACCTGGAGCCAAAGACAGAAGAAAAAGGAAAAGACTGAGCAAGCAGAGCTGCAGGATCATAAGTACAACAGCCCCACTTGATCTACTATATAATTATTTGGCTGCTGTGTTTGGTTTTAGAGGAAAAAGTTCATTAGAAAAAAGAAAAAAACCCTATGCAATAAATTATTAAATTCCAACAACTGCAACACATTACACAAAGATTAAAAATCATTCATTTAAGTCTTTTGACAAGTTAAATTACTAAGCAATCCTTCTGGTAGATTTGAAAATAACACTAACACAAATGAGAATTCTTCAAGTAGGTAGAGAACAAGAGGACCTTTGAAGAAAATCAGTACATTTCAATTATTTAATTGCTTTCTTCATTATAAATATCTTTGAAATAACAATAAAAATATATTCAGTATTCTACCCACAAAAATGTGTTTGGGGAAAAAAAATAATGTTTAGGTTTTATTCTCCTATTCTAACTTCTTTACTAAGATGCTTACCGCATTAATTTTTTTCTGATTTCAGTTTTCAAAGTTACCAAATTTCCAGAAAGTACCACTTATGCCACACTTTATCAACTTTAATGCATAATATTTTAATTATAACTGTTGTTGTCAGGTGCCACTGAGTCCTCTCTGACTCACAGCAACCCTGTGCACAACAGAATGAAATTGCCCGGTCCTGTGCCTGCCTCACGGTCCCTGCTATACCTGAGCCCATCATTGCAGCCACTATGTCAATACATCTCATTGAGGGCCTTCCCCTTCTTTGTTGACCCACCAATTTACCAAGCATGCTATCCTTCTCCAGGGAATGGTTCCTCCTGACAACATGACCAAAGAAGGTGAGATGAAGTCTGGCCATTCTTGCTTTCAAGGAGCATTCCGGCTGCACTTCTTCCAGGACAGATCTGTTAGTCCTTTTAGCAGTCTATGGTACTCTTAGCATTCTTCTCCAACACCACAATTCAAAAGCATCAACTCTTTTTCAGTTTTCCTTCTTCACTGTCCAGTTCTCACATGCATAAGAGGCGATTAAAAATACCATGGCTTGGGTCAGGAGCACCTTAGTCTTCAAGGAGTCACCTTTACTCTTAAGCACTTCAAAGAGGTCTTTTGCAGCAGATTTGCCCAATGCAATATGTCGTGTGATGTCATAGCTGCTGCTTCCATTGGTACTGATTGTAGAACCAAGTAACATGCAGTTCTCAACAACTTCAATCTTTCCTCCATTTATCATGAAGTTGTTTATTGGACCAGTTACGAGGATTTTTGTTTTCTTTTATTGAGGTGTAAGCCATACTGCAGACTGTAGTCTTTAATATTCCTCAGTAAGTGCTTCAAGTCATCCTCATTTTCAGCAACCAAAGTTGTGTCATCTGCATATCGCAGGTTGTTAATGAGCCTTCCTCCAATTCTGATGCCATATTCTTCTTCATATAATCCAGCTTCTCAGATTATTTGCTCAGCATACAAATTGAGTAAGTATGGTGAAAGGATACAACCTTAACACACTCCCTTCTTGATTTTAAACAGTGCAGTATCCCTTGCTCTGTTCAAATGACAGCCTCCTGATCTATGTACACGTTCCTCAGGAATACAATCAAGTGTTCTGGAATTCCCATTTTTTCTCAATGTTACCCATAATTTGTTATGATCCACATAAGTGAATGCTTTTGCACAGTCAACCAAACTTAAGTAAACATCTTTTTAATACTGTTTGCTTCAGCTAAGATCCATCTGACCTCAGCAATGATATCCCTCATTCCACATCCTCTTCTAAATCCACCTTGCATTTTTGGAAGCTCTCTGTCACAACTATGGATCTCTTCTAGTTAGTTGGCCATTTATAATTAATTTTTAAAATATATAAACTTTTCATTGAGTTTTTGGATTTATGGTTTTATTTTTCATTTCCAAATACATGAGAATTTTTTTTTATCCTTTTATTCCTAATTCAACTACATTCTGATCAGAAAATGTGGTCTAATACCAATTCATTGACACTTTTTGAGACACACCTATGGTCTAGTACAGGTATCAGTAAACTTTTTCTGTAAAGTGTCAGAAGTATTTTAGGCTTTGAGGATCATATGATTTCTGTGTCAACTACTCAACTCTATGAAAGCAATCATAGATAACATATAAAGGACATGGCTGTGTTCTAAGAAAACTTTATTTACTTGGAAAGATGTGAGTAGGGGTTGGTTCAATGGCTTAATAGCTTCAAAGTGAAGGCAAAATTGCATGACATTTAAGGGCAAATACAAGTTTTAAGTCAGACATTCATAACTGAGGGACTGCCTATACTTCACAACCAGTGTACTACAAAAGGGTTGCAGGTGGGCTGAAATTTACTCACTTCAGACCTACGATCTGGATCAAATCTGGGCTCTAGCAATTAACCCAGTGTGCTATACAAATATCATTTTCTATGTAGGTCATGAAACAAAAAAGTCCAAGAAACATTGTTCTATTTGTACTTCTGGCATACACACACGTTTATGTATATATGTACATACATGCGTATAAACATACATGGAAATAGATGCATACATATATACATACTTGTGCATATATATATACACATGTATACACACATACATATACACACATACATGCCTTACAGGTTTTGCTTTGCTAGAAAACCCAGACTAAGACAATCTCCATTCCCAATAATGCTTCTAATAAACATACAGCTACTCTACCTATGTATATAGTTAACCCCACTAGATGTATCATTTCTTTTTATTTTCTAAATCAGCAGAGAGTTAAACTGATTTTGTGAAAATGTATATGTAAAGTTGTATAAATTTTAACATATTCATAGATTCACATAACCACCACCACAATCAGGACATAGACATTCCATCACTCCAAAATAGTCTCTTGTGCTAGTCATTTGTAATCCCCCGAGAACCACTGATCTGTTCTTCATCCCTAGTATAGTCTTATATTTGAAAAAATATCATATAAATGGAGTCATACCATAGAACTGGTGTTATTTCTTTTTAAATGTTTGGTAGAATTTGCCATAGAAGTCATTTGGGCTAAAGAATTTTATTTTCAGGGACTTTTAACTAGGAATCCAATCACTTTGGAGTTCTGGTGGCATAGCGCCTAAGGCATCTGACTGGTAACCAGAAGGCTGAAAGTTCAAACCCACCAGCCACCCCTCAGAAGGAAGGTTGGGCAATCCACTTCCAAAGTGATATGGCCTCAGAAACCCAAGGAGGAGTTGTTATGAGCCAGATCTGACTCGAGGGCAGAGTTTGGCTTTGTGTTTTTTGGTTTTTCTATCTCATGGTTTGTGTTTTGTTAGTTGGTTTGTGTTTTGTTAGTTTTAAGTTATTGAGGAAGTGGTTCACTTGACGTAAATTGTTGATTTTACATACATCGAGTTGTTCATAGTATTTTCTTATCATCATCAGTTAGGTCTGAGTGAAATTCCTTTTCTCATTCTTGTTATTAGTAACCGTGTCTCCTTTATATTTTGTCAGTCTTGTTAGAAGTTTACATCACTTTTACTGACTTTCTCAAAAAAAAAAAAAAGCTTTTGAGTTCAATGATTTTCTCTATTGTCTTTTGTTGTCTCACATTTTCTAAATTTTATTTTGTCCTTGTTGCAAATATACACAGAAAAACATACACAAATTCAACAGCATCTATAAGTACCATTTAGTGACAAAGACTACATTCTTTGAGTTGTGCAACCATTCTCACTCTTTTCTGAGTTGTTCTTCCCCTGTTAACTAAACTCCCTGCCCCTTAAAGTTTTTATCTAACCTTCACAGTTGTTATTGTCATGTTGATGATACATAGTTCTTAAAAGAGCTTAATGATCAAGCCAGTTTTTTTATTTTAGTTATGCTAAACTACAGTTTGGGAGCTCTGGTAGCATAGTGGCTAAGACACTTGCCTGCTAACCAGACGGCTGGCGGTTCAAACCCACCAGTCACTCCTCGGAAGGAAGGTTGGGCAATCCTACTTCCGTAGTGATACTGCCTCGGAAACCCAAGGAGGGGTCGCTATGAGTCGGGGCCGACTCGACGGCACATAACAACAACAACAACAAACTACAGTTTGGTTTTAAGAAGATTTCAAGGCATACATTTGGTTGAAGATTTAAAGATTATCTCAGAGCCATATTTTCTCAGGCTCATTTAGCCATTTGCTCCAGAAAGCATGGCATCCGTGAGAATTTAAGATTCTGTTCTGTATTCTTCCCCTTTGATCAAGATTCTAATATAGAATCTTTGTTCAAAATGTCCAGTGATAGTAGCTAGACATCGTCCAGTTCTTCTGGTCTCATGGCAAAGGAGGCAGTTGTTCATGGAGACAAATTAGCCACATATTTCATATCCAACTCCTATTCCTGACTCTCCTTATTCTGTTGCTCTGAGCGTGTAAAAACCAACTGTTCTGCCTTGTATAGCCACTGGCAAGCTTTTAAGACCCCAGGCACTATGCAACGAACTAGGAGGTAGAAAAGAAGACCTAAACATATCATTAGGCCAATTAACTGGGATGTCCCATGAAACCTTTGTTTTTCTTTCACTGATTTACATTCTCCATTTCCTTCCTTCTGTTTGCTTTTGGTTTATTTTGCTCTTATTTCCTTAAGATAGAAATCCATTATTGATTTTAAACCTTCCATTATTTAGTGATATAAATCTCCCTCTCAATATTGCTTGATCTCTAGCCCACACTTTTTGATATGCTATATTTTCATTTAATTCAAATTTTTTTCTGA